ACAAGTAGGGTATCTGTGCAGGAAATGAGAGTTTCAAGTAGGGTATCTGCGCAGAAAATAAAAAATACAACGCACAATGAGATTAAAGAGGTTTTAAGTGTCGCTTGTGAAGAAATTGTTGGTTTCTCATACAGTATGGAAGCTTGGTATCTGTTTTATCGCAAAGCTACATAATAAGCTATGTCTACCGCGGGGAATCGAATCCCGAATTTTAGCCTTATAAGTCCGTACATTTCTCACTGACTGTCCAGTGGCTAGGAATAGTGTATGTTGTAAAGAAGTTTGTTTCAAAGACGATTAAAAACACCGAATCACTATATAAGTAAATAAGGTCTTTTTAGGTAGAGCTTGAAATATGGAAATTAAGAAACGTTAGTGGAACTAATAATCCCACTTGGCAGAGTTATAAATTCTTTTAATGAAGTTGTTAAAGTGTGGACTTACTAAGACACGTTTATGACGAGTATCTTTTTGTATCTTAGGAATACGACGGCACACTAGAAAATGAATCTTACCATGTTGAAAAAGACAGTGGCGTCGGAAGAACTGACGAGAGTACGAAGTGCGACGATAGTTCTGGGGCCGAGAATAAAGAAAGTGAACATCTCGTCTACAAAACCCCAATCTTTGAAAAGGTTTTCTTAAAAGAAAAAACTTTTTCCGAAGATTATTCCTGCTTGGAGAATGTGGAGGAGCCCAATCCAGAAGAGGAAGAATTCTGTCACCACGAGCTTTTTCCAGCAAAGTGTGTCGGCACAAGTACAATAAACGATCATTCTCTAGGTCCGTGTTATAATAATTTTGACAGAGAGTTGAGGTATTTAAATGTAGAGCTAGAAAGCGTGCAGCTAGAAGAAGCGTCCATAGAGCCCAGACCAAGGGTATGTTCGGAACACATGTCTGGAGATAATCCTGTTGAATCCAGAAGGGGATCCAATAGCAAAGCTCGACAGTTGTGGAAGAAAAAAGAATCGGTGGAAGGATGGTTAATAAATACTGCACAAAGGAGGAAACAGGATAGAAGGATCTTCCAAGGCCAACCGATGAAGGAAGAAGACAGCTCCAGAGTTTCTTGTAAGAGAATGAGTTCAAGCAGCTTAAGTGTCAATCCTGTGATAACGCAGCTTAAGGAATGTGATATTCCGTGTGTAACATGTGACACTTGTCAACAAGCTGATGGTGACTTTAGAAGAAGATGGACTTCCGAAGTTAGAAGTTCCCAACAGTATCAGCAACAAAGCTTGACTTTTTATCCTTGTGCGACCATGTACACGAACAAACAGAACTTACAACACACAATATGGCTTCAGCAAGAACTGTTTCGTCAAGCACTGGCACATCAGCGGCAGTACAATCAACGGAATACCTTATCAACGTGTAGCCGTCACTCACGGGAGACTCTTCCGAGCAGCATTCCCACCAGTCCCAGCAAAAGTATTGCCGTGAGTAGTGTAAAAGATGAGGAGGAGGAGGGGACGATGGAATGGAAGGTAAAGCGGAGATCTGACGGATCGCGATATATTACCAGACGCCCTGTCAGGAACAAGTTACTCAAGGAACGAGCTCTCAAGATCAACGAAGAAAGATGTGGAATCACCACTGACGATGACGCAATGAGCGAATTGAAATTTGGACGCTACTGGCCCAAAGAGGAACGCAAACGTCACTTGGAAAGAGCGCGTGATCGCAAACGAAGGGAATGGGTGATGCGCAGCAAAATGGCCGTTGTAGAAGAACGCGTGGAAGAAAAGGACGATGTCTCTTCAGCACGAGAAAGACGAAATGAAGGGAAAGACTCTGGAATTCTAGAAAAGAAAAATGTTCGCAAGAAACACAAAGTTGTCTCAGAGGACCACCGTTCAGTTCATAACAGCATAGCACGTAGCTTTAAGGGACACAACAAGACGCAAGGTTTGCTCTCTGTAACCACAGTGTAGATAGAATTGTTGAAAATGCCAAGTACCACACCAATCTTGGCTCCAGGTACAATATCAGGGTACTTGGAACCAAGAACACCAATCTTGGTTCCAGGTATAATATCAATCTTGGTCCCAAGTAACACAACAATCTTGGTCTCAGATATAATATCAATCTTGGTTCCAAGTACCACACCAATCTTGGTTCCAGGTATAATATCAATCTTGGTTCCAAGTACCACACCAATCTTGGTTCCAGGTATAATATCAGTCTTGGTTCCAAGTACCACACCAATCTTGGTTCCAGGTACCACATCAGTCTTGGTTCCAAGTACCACATCAGTCTTGGTCCCAAGTACCACACCAATCTTGGTTCCAGGTATAATATCAGTCTTGGTCTCAAGTACTACACCAATCTTGGTTCCAGGTATAATATCAGTCTTGGTCCCAAGTACCACATTAATCTTGGTTCCAGGTATAATATCAGTCTTGGTCCCAAGTACCACAGCAATCTTGGTCCCAAGTAACACAACAATCTTGGTTCCAGATATAATATCAGTCTTGGTCCCAAGTACTACAACAATCTTGTTTCCAGGTACCACATCAGTCTTGGTCCCAAGTACTACAACAGTCTTGGTTTCAAGTACCACATCAGTCTTGGTCCCAAGTACCACATCAGTCTTGGTCCCAATTACCACACCAATCTTGGTTTCAGGTTCAATATCAGTCTTGGTCCCAAGTACCACACCAATCTTGGTTTCAGGTACAATATCAGTCTTGGTCCCAAGTACCACACCATTCTTGTTTCCAGGTACCACATCAGTCTTGGTTCCAAGTACCACATCAGTCTTGGTCCCAAGTACCACACTAATCTTGTTTACAGGTACCACATCAGTCTTGGTCCCAATTACCACACCAATCTTGGTTTCAGGTTCAATATCAGTCTTGGTCCCAAGTACCACACCAATATTGGTTTCAGGTATAATATCAGTCTTGGTCCCAAGTATCACACCAATCTTGGTCCCAGGTATCACATCAGTCTTGGTTAACGTGGCGAAGACAATAGTAATTTTAAACATTTGAAAGAAGAAAAAATAAAAAAATAATATAATGTTTTCCAAGTTGGCTTATTGGATGTAAGTAATCACAACTTACTCTCAGGTTATTAGTACATATGGAAAAGTTTGTTTTAGTTGTTTATATAAAATAAAATATTTATTTTAAGTCAGGTTTGAAATACTTTTATTAAGGAAATGTTGAACTTCAAGACTTTTTTCATGAGCATTACTTGAGTAAAGAAAACTTCAATACGTTTTTAATGAGCATTACTTGAGTAAAGAAAACTTCATGACTTTTTTCATGAGCATTACTTGAGTAAAGAAAACTTCAAGACTTTTTTCATGAGCATTACTGGAGTAAAGAAAACTTCAATACTTTTTTCATGAGCATTACTGGAGTAAAGAAAACTTCAAGACTTTTTTCATGAGCATTACTGGAGTAAAGAAAACTTCAAGACTTTTTTCATGAGCATTACTGGAGTAAAGAAAACTTCAAGACTTTTT